TTGTTTGGTGAAGCTGTACTTGAACCATGACAGATGTATCATCCTGTATTTTACGCCAGACAATTTTAGCGACTCTTTCAGCAAATTTTTTGCAGTCTTACTATTTAGTGCTTCTATCTCATTCTTACTATTCCGAATAAGCTCGCTATAAACAGAAGACGGCTGCTTCTATCGTCTGCCATTGTATTCATTAAAAATTTAGTGAGGGTGTATTTCCTCACCGAATTTTGAGCGAAGCTCTTGGCTACGATGGCAAAAATGAAGGCTGAATTCCGGAGCTTTATCGATCCGCGTAACAAATACACTCTGAGCCTCTGCTACCAATTATCACTTGAATCATTTCAAACTGTGCACTGCACTCTTTACTCTTTGAAATGCTATATTGTGCTATTACAATGTTTAATGAGCACAAATGTTCTACTAATCAGTGCCTCATCACCGTATTTTTATCCTTTCCTCATTAACTCTGTCACTTACTTTGCGAAATAATCTTACGACAAAGTGTACATTTTAGAGATGAGGCTCCTTTTATGTGTTAGGATTACTGTGACCTTTAACCTAATCGAAATAAAATGCTTCTTTTACTTAACCAGATTTTTACTCTTCCAATCGAAGTCGCTGCACTTCGCCGTTGCAGGTGCGGAGAATCGAGTAGGCGAAGTTTTTTAGGAAACTAGCGAATATCATTATACTCAATTAATTGTTTTACTGGTCTTTGCAATGACAGTTTAAAAATTTTACAATAAAAGTGGACTGTTTCTGCTTAAATAAGAATAATAAGATACACATTGATCGGTTTTTAGATGTACCGCTGAAGTGGTAGCTAGAACATCCCAAGGTTCGAATTTGATATCAATATCACTGACCGAGTCCCACGGCGTAAGCAATCATGGACATAATGAAGTCGAGTGAACCAGACCACTGGTCTCGCTCAGGCAATTTTTGGGCCCGCTTGTCCTGATCCAAATCAAATGATACAGCATTTGCGTTCAGTGTGGTACTTCGACTTGAAATTCCGCTCATTGAAGTTGAATTTGTATCCATAATTTGTGAAGCTGTGCGTTGTGATCCGCTGCACTTCCGTAACTTCACATCATTGCTACTGCTGTCTCCGTCACCTTTAGGAGATTCTTTTGCGGATTTACCGCTCATTGTTAAAGTGGTACCGTATTCTTGTCACACTTCGTGATTAATTTCTAAATTATGTAAAAGTTATTGATGGGATGTTGTTATGCATCACCGGACAAAGAGGCACAGAGAGGCAATAACTTGTTAGCACTGATGCAACGACTTCTTTGCACGATGTTAAGAAAGCCACCGCAGCCGCGAAAGCTTCACCGATGGTGAAAGTGCGCAACAATGAAATGAAAGTTATCGAAATACTTGGCTTCCAAAGGCTTTGGCGGATGAGAGAGCCGACAAAAGCACATCATTTGCAAACAGAACAATACGAGTCAGCGCTGCTAACCGAAAGAAAACTTCTTGAAACTGCCTACTTTTTCATAACAAAAGCGATGCAATGAAATTTTCATAAATTACATCAAATTTATATGCGTCAAGTCAATTCAATTTGCATTTTATGCAAACACTGTTAGCAAGAATTTTCCGAGTTGAATGTTCTGTCCTCTTCGTGATTTGCGGGAACAATCCGTTCTTATGCTTTTTATGCGTTTTTGCACATATTCAAATGGAAACAAAGGCTGGAACGCACCAGGCGAGCCGGTGCGATCATGCGTTTTTGCATCAAAACTAA